GGAGAAGTCTATGAAAGCTGCACAGCCATGTCTATGTGTCAGCAGGAGACTGTGTGATGTGTGATGATGCGTTTCCGGGGTCACGCCCCCTTCATCAGATGCTAAAATATGGTAAAATGTTATAAATTGGGATAATAAATTAAATACAATCAATGTCTTCTCAATTTAGAAAATACTTAGGTAAAACAATAACAATCCCAAGCAATATAATACAAAAATAGAGATGTGAAGAATTGTAGGGATAATAAAAATAGAAATAAATATTTCTAACAGCTAGCCACACCAGCAAGCCCGCATACCCTTATATAGGGTTGTCTTGTCAATCTGACCATAAACAAGTCTATGAGGGTTTACTGCACAGGTGCAGCCAGCAATGAGGAAGTTTCAGCTTAAAGATGTTAAAGCCCAATTCCAGCTTGTGCAATGACACACAAAAATTGTATTCCCCAGCAGCTCTTATAAATAACCAGCTCTACAGGATTGAATGATACCCAGCACCATTCAACTCTCTTCTGTGGGCTCAGGGCAACAAGGCTTCACACTTTAGGGTGTGCCTACTTTCAGAAGAAGATGGTGAAGGAGGGCCTGTGACATTACTGGACTGGATCGAAGCACCTGCAAAAAAATTATGTACTGTATAAGGATTTTTATTTCATGGATGTGGGGGGTGCTATCATGGAATGGAGGGTCGAACGGGGTGGGGAACCCAAGCTCAAAGTTAGGCTGCAGGCTATGAGTTGGAGCCGGCTGCTCCAAGCAGGGAAGGGTTATATGAATTCAGTTGGGAAACATGGGAAATCTAAGCACACACTAGTCAAATTGTTCATTTTGACAGGTGCAGGTGTTCGGGTTGGGCCGGCGGGCTTTTGGGGGGAACCCCATGCATTTTTTCCAAATTTTTAACTAGGGGCCCCCCCTAACATTCATACCAGACCTGAAGGGTCTGGTATGGTTTGGGAGGGGGACCCCATGCTGTTTTTTTAAAATTTGTTTACATTTTGCCGGGAGAACGTTCTGCTTCGGCAGATGGTTCTCCCCGCTTCGGCTGTATGTTCAGTTCAGCCGAGCCAAAGCTTATGCATTCCGCTCCTCTGCTGCCTTCAGCTGCTTTATGGGCTATTGTGAATATTGTAAATAGTCCGTACAGCAGACCTTCGGTTCGGCTGAACCAGAGGCTTCCTGCAGCCGAAGCGAGCTGAAGGATTAAGCCAAAGGTTCGGCTTAATGCTTGTACTCATTAATGAATAACCCACCAAGACTTGCATCTTTGTGTTCATACATTATTGCCTATTTGAACAGCTTATGTACTGTCCTGCCTCTGCTTGTGCTCTTACCTGGTGACATGTATGTACTGTCCTTTCTCAGCTTGTGCTCTTACCTGGTGACATGTATGTACTGTCCTGCCTCTGCTTGTGCTCTTACCTGGTGACATGTATGTACTGTCCTGCCTCAGCTTGTGCTCTTACCTGGTGACGTGTATGTACTGTCCTTTCTCAGCTTGTGCTCTTACCTGGTGACATGTATGCACTGTCCTTTCTCAGCTTCTGCTCTTACCTGGTGACATGTATGCACTGTCCTTTCTCAGCTTGTGCTCTTACCTGGTGACATGTATGTACTGTCCTTTCTCAGCATGTGCTCTTACCTGGTGACATAAATGTACTGTGCTGCTGCTAGACAATTTTTACCAAACCATGCCTAAGGAAGGAAAAGGAACAGTTAATAGAAACAAGTAGCTTACTTGGTGACAATTGAAGAGCTGGCTATCAATCAGCTGCAGACATTGGTCTTTAAAAGGATTTTTGGCAGTAGAAATCTGTAATCACAGGCAGAGCACGTAAGACAATGTACACTAGAACTGCAATTGAAAGAACTCATGTATAGTATGTTAAAGTAAATGTAAACCCAAGCAATACAATCTTATATGAGCTTTAATATGATCATATCACTTGGAAAGTCTTTTTTTAACTGGTAGCTTTCTAGAAAATAAGAGCTGGTGATGGTGAAATAAAGGTCCTTGTTTAGGGACTCTGTATTGTTGGGTGATGTTCTGCCCCTGCAATTGCAGCCAAATACAATTGCAGCCAGCAACGATTAGAAAAATCACCTCATACGGCGTCCAGCCGTCCTCGCTCTAGATAGAGGCGGCAAAATGGGCAGCTCTACCTAGAGCGAGCACGGCTGGACGCCATATGAGGTGATTTAATGCAGTATGAAGTCCAGCTGCCCTTCCCCCCATCTCTCTTAACTGAAACTCTGTACCTCTCTACGAGCTCTGCCAGTTTGAAAATGTGCAGAAGCCTGAGCTTAGCAGCTGTGATCGAGTGTTCACTTTGCAATGTTTTCCAGGCTTCAATGCAAATATTAAAGAAATGCGTTTTTTAATATATATTATTCATTATGCATTTCTTTAATTTTTGCAAAAGATGAACTTATCCTTTAGGCTCTCAGAGATCCCTCAAAATAATTGTCAGACCTACTGCTCACAATAAATCAGCATGGTTACTATAGAAAATGTAGTTGTACATATAATAATAAATATATGAAAAAATAATAATAGCATTTATATGTGGAAATGATGGTTGTGTTTTGCTGTATAAATAATTTGTGGAAACAATAACTTTGCATTGACTCTCAGCGGCAAAAATATATTTTTGTTGGTGTTCATTGGCAAGAAAAAATTTGCATTGACAATCAGTGGTAAGAACACTTTTGCATTGGTGCTTAATGAATATGTGTACACACTGGTATTTAGTGGCAATACATTCCCCTCCCATCCAATGTTACTTACTCCAGACCAGAGATACTCCACTCGTCCCATGTTGCTGTCCCTCACTAGTGACTTCAAGAGTTGGAATTCTAAAGGAATTGTCCTGCGGATATCCATGATTTTTGATTACCTGTGATGTCACTGCTCAGAACCTCTCTATGGCTGGGTCCAGGGAGGCATTCCACATCACATCGTATGAATGAAGGAGAATGTATGAGTTGACAATCAATGGCCATCGGGACAGCAAGACTGGATATTCTGCAGACCGAATCCACCCACTAAATCGCATTAAAAACCCTTAATTTATATTGTATATCCACTTTCCTTCTGTTTAACGGTTACCTGTAAATACATATATTGTAGGATATGGCCAAAGTATGTGGACATCTTCACCAAATGATTTTCAGATGTTTCCATTGAAGGGTATTGTTAATGCTACAGTATACAAATGATTATAGACCATAGCAAGCTGTCAATCTTGCAGCAATAGTTTGGTTTGGTTTAGTTTCTGTTTCAGCATGATTGTTCCCACTGTGCACAAAGCCAATTCCATAAAGACATGATTTGACTTGTTCAGTATGAAGGAATATAAATGTCCTGCAAAGAGCCCTGACCTCAACCCTAATGAATACCTTTGACATGAATTGGAACACCGATTGTGAGCCGGGTCTTCTCCTCCAACATCAGAACCTGACCTCACAAATGCTCTTTTGGCTGAATAGGCACAAATTCCCCCAGACACACTATGAAGTCTGGAGGAATGCCTTCCCAATCGAGTACAGACTATCATGCCGCAAAGCAGTCAGCCACCAGTTTTCATAAGAACATTATATACATTATAAGAACATGGTGTATTTATCATTTTAGACCAGAAGAAGCCGTATGTTGTCAGATCAAACAGGAAGTTAGGAGCATGCAAGATTTGTGCAGATCAACAGGTATGTATCTGTACTTGCAGCCAGAGGCATAACTAGAAACTTCAGGGCCCCAGTGCAAGAAACCATGGGGGGCCCCCCAACCCCCCCACTGCCATGGGAAGGAGCTGCGGAGAGTTGGCCTGCTGCATGCTGGGAGCTGAGGCGGTTAACAGGGCCATTTTCCTCCTGTCCGGGCACCCCCAAGTGGTGGAACGACCAGAGTTGCATTTGCGACTGGGACCTGGCGTTCCACTACTTGGTGAGCGCCCAATCTCACCAGGGCTGATCTCACCAGGGCTGCCGGTGGTCTCACCAAAGCTGCAGGAGGTCTCGCCAGGCCTGCGGCAGTCTGAGCAGGGCTCTGCAGGGTCTCAGGTGGATAGAGTGCAGGGTTAGGGCTGCTGACAGGTCACCCCCTTTGTGTCCAGGTCCTCTCTCTCCCCCTCTGCCTGACACCGCTCCTAGACCCCTCCCCCTCCTTCTTTCGGGGTCCTCCGGGGCTCTCAGTTGCAGAGCTAGCACTGTCAGTGCCTGCAGAGCGGAGGGAGGAGAGAGGGAGGAAGTCGGCAGCCGAGGCTATGCATCGGGCATAGCAGGCCAATCATTCTGATTGTGTGCGGGCCCTCTCCTTCCTCTGTGGGCCCCCCCCAACAGGTGGATCGCCAGGGCCCGGTCTCGATCGCGACCGCTGCGACCCTGGTAGTTCCGCCAGTGCTTGCAGCATTTTAAAATGTGCAAGCATTGCATAGATGTTCTAAGTATGTTTTTTTTGCAAAGATATACTGTACTAATAATAACAATAACAATAAAGTCAGCGGTATATTCCTCATTCAAAGATAATTGAATATCATAGTGTATGCTACCATGTTCTTGACCTTTAGTCCACAAAGAATATTACGACATAATCACGGGTAACTTTAATAGAAGCACATTTTATTCTGATATATGATACATATGTTTTACAAATTAAGATATAACAAAGGGTTCCCCATGAAAAAGGATAATCAGAGCACTATGGGAACACACCACAAGCTGTTTTCTTTCCAACATGCTGTCACTGAATGAAACCCCAATTGAAGCAAAATGGAGAGAGAAGAGTCATTGATCATATATTTATCCTGAGTGACTTTTATCGACTGTTGTTTTCTTTTGTTTGTATTTTATATCTCATTTCAGTTGTAGTTTCTTTATTTTTAATCAATAACCAACTGCTTTTACCAAACTTTACGTTCTGAAGAAAAGCTATTTATTTTGCTACAATTTATATTCCATGTGTCACAGCATTACGTTTGATGCCAAAAAGTATTTTTTTTTTTTTACTGAAGAGCTTTTCTTTGGGCTACAGTCGCCTTCGCATTCAACTCCGGTCTCATCAGAATGATGTAACATTTGGGAATGAAGATGCAGCCCAGGAGTCCAGCACTGGAGAACAAGACCTCCACAGCCACCATGTATCTCCCTTTGGTGCTGAGGTAGGCTGGGATGAAGGAGATCCAAACACTGCAGAAGACCAGCATGCTGAATGTGATGTACTGAGCTTCATTGAATGTGTCTGGGAGTTTCCTGGCTAAAAATGCTACAATAAAGCTGAACACAGCCAGACATCCCATGTAGCCAATCAGAATGTAGAAAGCAGTGACAGAGCCCTCGTTACACTGTAATATCATCTTCCCCACCTCCACTTGGGTGTCATACTCTTGGAATGGTGGGGAAAAGACAAACCAGAAGACACAGATCACAAGCTGTCCAGAAGAGCAGATAATCAGGAGGAAAACAGAGAATTGTTTTTTCATCCACTTGTTAATACTGTTAGGTCTGGTGACATTAAAAGCTAGAACAACAGTAACTGTTTTAGCCAGAACCGAAGAAACTGCAACAGAGAAAATTGTCCCAAAAAAAGCTTGTCGGAGAAGACAGAAGATCTTTGTGGGACGTCCAATGAAGAGCAGAGGACAAAGAAAGGACAGGATCAGTGAGATGAGAAAGATGAAGCTGAAGGTCCGGTTATTGGCTTTTACTATTGGAGTGTCTTTGTGTTTCACAAATATCCCAAACATGATAATAGTTCCAAAACAGAATAATAGAGCCATAAACATAAGAGAAACTCCCAATGTATCTCCATAAGACAGGAAATCAATTGTTCTTTGCATACAGGTGTCTCTTCTCTCATTGGGCCATTGATCCTCCGGACACTTATAACACCTTTCCATGTCTGAAAGTGAAGAGAAAGTTCTCATGATTTGAGTACAGTTTCAGGAGGTGTACATTTATCTGATATCGCTATAATTTCAAAGACACAATGAGGGATTAGAGAAGAACAAGTCACAACTTGAAGTCTGATATTGTGTTATATATAGCTTGCATAGAGCTAGGGTCAGTAAATGATTTATTGCATCATGTGATCGACAGAGATGTAAACCAAGAACGAAATGAAGAGAAGGAGATGACTAACAGCCAAGCAACTGGTGACTAGTGATGACCAAATCAGGAGGAATCGCTGATTTGATGGGCATAAAAATTTCTATGTAGACCTTTCTCATTTAAGTAAAATAACACAAATTAAGAACCCAGGCCATCAGAATTATATCATTCTCTTCAAGATGGATATATTGTATATTCTGGCATTAATTCATGAGAACAAAACGTAACCTTTATACTAAAACTTAAAGACCGATTTTGGACACGTTTTTTTTTTGTTTTTACTTAAAAGTCCCCAAGCAGCATGAAAAAAGTAAAACAAATATATATTTTGCTGCGCTACCTGCTGCAGACTCACCCACTCTGTGTCACCCAATCCAGCCAGTATTAGCAGATCATTAAAAGGTACCAACTGTTCTTATTGGTGATCTCATTCTCCGGGCAGGGCACACAGTGGTGACAGCACGGTTGTCCTCCTTCATGTTGAAGTTTTTGGTATCCGGGGAGGCAGCTCTCGGAGCACAGAGAACGTGGAGTCTGAAGACAAAATCCAGTTACTATAATATATTTTGATTAATATTTCAGATTTTATTTTAATAATGATCACCAATGGAACCAAGATTGACTAAATGTATAAAGAACCTTTTGGAAAGCGTTAAACCTACAAGTGAAGACCGCATGTTTCTAGTATGTATTTATACTAAACTTCATTCTTAGTGCTGAGCACATTCTATAACTAAGGGGGCCATTCACAAAAGGGTGAAGAGTTTGGAGAAGGCTGGAGAAGTGAACAATCTAGGACAACATAGCTGAACTGGAAAGTGAGCTGAATTTTGGCCTAGTCTGTTCACTTCTCCGGCCTTCTCCATACCCATGACTCCAAAACATCCAAAAAAGGTTTTACTTTTCAAGTTAACCTGAGACGTGTGTCATAATGGTGTGGCCATTAAAACAAAACTCCACTAAGGGCTTGTTCACATCAAGTCCGGAGCAGATGCAGAGCAGAACATTTTCAGAATGCATCAAAAATGCATCCAATGTATTCTAATGGTATTTTGGGCTCTAGCTCACACCAGTTCTGGAATTGAAACGCATCTAAAATGCATTAACAACCTGTTCAAACGCATATGCATGCTTGTGCAGAAACGTGTGCAGATCTGCTCCGGACTTGGTGTGAGCAAGCCTCAATGGTGTTCCTTGTCAGTCATAATCATCATAATTTGTGTGTAATCTCATCGGGGGAGATTTTATGATAGGAAATAAACAATTCTGTGCTAACAGGTGGAATGGAGACCCAACGTTTCTACGCAAAGATGAAGCATAGCAAACTTTATTATCAAGCAGTTGAAATGTGTGAAGACTCCTGTTTATTACACATTTGCTGACTGCTATTTTGTTTATCTGTGTTCTAATTCAGATCTTAGTGCTTTGACTTTCCTGTGTTTAGTTGCCTTCTGTCACAATCCCATAATACTTACTTTCCTTGTCGCACTCCTTACCGAATATCCCTTGTAATGGTGGGGTGCTCGCAGTGACTGCGGATGGCGCCGCAAATATCAGCAATCATGTCGAGAAGTCACCAGCACACCAAAATCCTTTTAGGATAGCACAAATGTTCCTTTATTGAAGATTTCTTGTCATACATGCATGTAACACTGTATTAAGGGTTGCAGTAATTCAAAGACAAAACAGACAATACGTACAGGGTTAAATGTATGACAAGAAATCTTCAAAACATGAATATTTTGCTATCCTAAAAGGATTTTGGTGTGCTGGTGACATCTCTACACAATCCCATAATAGTCACACTGGACTCGGAACTGTGTCTGTTATGTTGGGATATATATGGCAATGAAACCTGAACATATTACACCATTTTGTTTAAATCTCAGAAGTTATTATTGTGTTTTAGTGGTGTGATCACATAGGTTTGGTGGTAGATCCTTCTCCTCATTTTTGTTAGTACGTCATCCAGCATCTGAAGCTTCTGCACTCAAAAAGTGCCGGTCTGAATGCAAAGTGCAATGGTTGCTTACTTGCAAGATTTAGACGGCCTGAGCTGTAACCAAAAGGCTGCACATAATGTTCAGTATACTGTATGTAAAGCTGGACTGTCAGAGAGTGAAGACAACTTCGAGGAAATGCTGGTCAGAGACTGTGGAAAAGCTACAGGTTTGTTTGAAGAATAGAGAAATGATTTAGAAGACAGAGAGAGACTGTAGACGTGTTATATGAGGCTAGTAGAGATTACTTTGACTACCCCATTACAAGCCTATAGTCCCTCTCCCTCTGCAGACTGCTGGAGTTTAAAGGCCACTCTACAAGTACCAAATGGTCACATGTGTCCCTCTGGCTGCAGGTTGAGAACCAGGGCTATAGTTGAACAGTGCCAATCCACCAATCCTGAAAACTACATATCTGGAATCACTAGGAAGTAGATGGACTCTTTAACATGGGCAAAAATATGCATATTTAGGGGTTCCAGTGAACCGAAAAACCAAAACATTTTTCTTAGTTTTGGATGAAGTGGAGAAAGATTAGAAACCCTTCTCATGGTTTTAATGGTGTCTGTGTCCTCACTGGGGAAATGATCATCTCTATTGACAATGGTCACCAAGACAGAAAGTGGGAGGAAATCTGAGATTGTTGTGACCTGAACAGGAATAGAAAGGAACTCTTCCAATGGGCACACTTGTTTCAGTGACAACTATCTAAGATGGGAGGTGTGCACCCTTTGGAGGGATTCCTCTTACTCCCAGTTGGGTCTACAAGACTGGAAGTGAAAGGACATCTGCTGACTACAACATAAAAGGCAGAAAAAAAAAAACATAACAGGGGTTATACCATTCCCTAGTGCACTGGAAATTAAAAAATGCATTCTTAAACAATGGAAACACAGAGAATGATAATCATTAATGCTCCAGAATCTGACCAGGGACAGTCGGGTTGCTTTCTTGTTCACAACTCTATTTCACATTTTGGTATCTGTCTGAGAGCTCAAGGATATTTACTTTTTGCGTTTTTATGTAAAAATGCAGAGGTCAGCGTTAGTACAAATAAAATGCAGTTTTCTGCAATATATACCTCTAATCTAGAGCTGTCCCATGCAGTACTTTCTTTAAACAACTGGATATTACCAGTCTTCTGAGTTGAATGATGGCCGGCCTCAAATCAACCCATTTACTCTGAGCCCAGGCTGTCACGGACCTGCCCTATCATCATGCCATCTTAGATTCAGAATATCACTGCACTGAATGGTTCTCACACTTTAAGGGACTGATTTATCAATGTTCGCATGGCACTAACGCCACTAGATGGCACTGAGGAGCATAGGATTACAAAGTTATTTTAAATTCACATTCTGTGTTATGTTACCCAAGCATATTCCTTGTACCTGCCATAGGTGGCAATTTTGGGTTCTAGCAAAACAAACGACAAACGCACTCAACAATTTGTTACCAGTTATACAGTAAGGTGCACACGAAATGGGCTTTGAACAGTAAAACAGCAGAAAGGAATCATGGCACACTCACAAAACCAGCATGTAAAACAACATGTCTCACCACTAAGGATAATGACAGAGGTTTGGATACACGTCTTCTGCTGAGGATGTGTAAGCCGCACTGCCGCGCCAAGGCACCTCTTATAGTGCGGTCCTAACTCTAAACTATGAGAGTCTCCATCTTGGAGCACATGGGGGCAGAAGATATCAAATTGGGTGCAGGTTTGTCAGGAGGACGCCCAACCTCCTTAAAGGCACAGAAACACACAAGGGATCCCGCACATCCTAATGGCAGCTGAGAAACCCCAGAAAGACGTGTATCCAAACCTCTGTCATTATCCTTAGTGGTGAGACAAGTTGTTTTACATGCTGGTTTTGTGAGTGTGCCATGATGCCTTTCTGCAATTTTGGGTACTAGTCTCAATGACCTTCTTGTGTAAATATACATCATGTAGGGCGTATGCCAGTGCATAAACTGCAGAGTACACGCTGAAAGTGTAGCGAAAATGTTCCACATCATAACGAGAGGGATCCACGGAACGGAAACTATAAGACTCTCTGCATGCTTTATCATAAGACTCTTTCTCAATAGATTCAGGCACACAAGAAAATTCATCTATCCAAGCATCGAGAATCATGGGGTTATCAGGATATTTCTCAGGGTTGATATCAAGAAGATAATCCTTCAGTCCTGGAATATTCCCTCTGTGTAAATCGACCAGCAGAGAACCATTAAGAGCAATCACATAATCAATGTTTTTATGTATGTGGAAAGCTCAGAACAATACAAAGATCTTCCTTAAAGATGAAATAGCGCTAACCACATTGATTAGACTAATAGTCTTTGCATTTCCATACAGTATTACAATGCTGCAAGTTAATTGTGAAAGTCTGCGATAAGCTTTTTCACTTCTCTCAATATAATAATGGTCAGGTAGAGTGACAGCAAACTCAACACAAATCTTGTTTTGTATCAGAAGAGTTTTCAGCTCTGTATTGACCTTCTGACCATCCTCATTATCTAAAGACACAATGCCCACCCAATTCCAGCCAAAATGTTTCAGTAAGAGGATGATGGCTATAAATTGATCCTTCACATCAGGGACTGTGCTATCGAATGAGGGAAACTGGAACTTACTATAGAAGCTTGGATTCATTGCGCCGTAGCTGATCTGTAATAACAAAAACATTAAATATCATTCAAAGTCATCAAAGCAACAGTCTGGGCAAAATTTCTCCTCTTAGACTAGACACAAACAGTTGCTGGTTCTTTTTATCCAAAATTGACTGCGCTAGGAAGGTGAATAAAATTAAATTAAAGTACCAGCTGCAACAATGTGTATCAGTGTGATCAGATGTGAACTAGTATGTTGCGCTTGGTTGAAATCTCTTACGTGCGATTTTGTTTCAATATTTCATTGTGATAATGTAATCTTTAAAACACATGTGATTTATATCATAGAGTGAAATAAAGAATTAAATATATACTAAATAAACATGCAAGTGAATAATACCAATTAATAAACCTTATCTCATCTTATAATTATTTGATCTCTACTACATGATGGTATTAGTGAAAACAGCACATGTATAATCTGAATGTCACCCGTGTAAATATATGTGATAATTATGTGAATCACTATAAACGATATAAATATAACAAGGTTATATAACAGAGGAAGAAATTATTAGATGAACGGCAGAGTCCAACAAAAAATATATATATAACGGCCAAATGAAAAGACCGCTATCTATCCACCCTAATAGAGTGGGATTATTTTAGGCATACAATTTCCCGAGGTCAGTTTGTCCTATTTATACAATATCTCAGTTCGGAGTGTGCTTATGGGAGGAATCAAGTTCTTGGAATCAAACTGCGAAAATTAATGATGGTACGTTGAAAATAACCAAGTATCTGTTACTTTATCTTCAGTCGACGGATCCACGGAGCTCCTATTTTCAGCCTCTGTTTCCTCTCCTGCATACAGCTTGCTCTCCCTCTCGTTGCCGATGGTCCGCACCCTCCAGGTGTAATTGGGGAGTCCAACCAAGAGAGTGGAGAAAAGTAGAAGCCACAAAAAAGAGAGATATCTAAGTGCAGATAGCAAAAAGACCTTTATTTGAATTAAAAATGATTACACTTACAGGAATCCATAAGCATAACAGCGTGCAAGTGTAAAGGACACTCAACCTCTGGATCTTTTTCACCGTGTCACCGACTTTTTCAAAAGTCCTTTGGACGAAATGCATCAAGGGATTTGACTGTCCCCTCGCTGACACGGTAAAAAAGATTCAGAGGTTGAGTGTCCTTTACACTTGCACGCTGTTATGCTTACGGATTCCTGTAAGTGTAATCATTTTTAATTCAAATAAAGGTCTTTTTGCTATCTGCACTTAGATATCTCTCTTTTTTGTGGCTTCTACTTTTCTCCACTCTCTTGGTTGGACTCCCCAATTACACCTGGAGGGTGCGGACCATCGGCAACGAGAGGTCCGTCATTTGGCCGTTATATATATATTTTTTGTTGGACTCTGCCGTTCATCTAATAATAATTTCTTCCTCTGTTATATAACCTTGTTATATTTATATCGTTTATAGTGATTCACATAATTATCACATATATTTACACGGGTGACATTCCGATTATACATGTGCTGTTTTCACTAATACCATCATGTAGTAGAGATCAAATAATTATAAGATGAGATAAGGTTTATTAATTGGTATTATTCACTTGCATGTTTATTTATTATATATTTAATTCTTTATTTCACTCTATGATATAAATCACTTATGTGTTTTAAAGATTACATTATCACAATGAAATATTGAAACAAAATCGCACGTAAGAGATTTCAACCAAGCGCAACATACTAGTTCACAGTTGCTAGTTCTTGGTGACTGTCCACTCAGGAACCATCATTGTCACCTGGTGGTGCAGAGAGTTCTCACCGTGTGTAAGCTCTGACTAGATTGACTAAAAGATTACACAGGGCTTCCTCTCTTCATTCCCAGTGACAGGGGAGAAAAATAGATGAGTATGTAACATTAGGGTTGGGGGGAATTTAAATTGGACCTGTTACTTTTCTCTGCATGGGAAAAGTATGGGTTCGTGTTAAAGGAGAGCCGGAGCGGATCCCGACTTAGATGACGGGATCCGCCCAGCTGCGTGAGTGACAGCTGGCTCTGCCTATCTAGAGGCAGAGCCAGTTGGACCCGCCCCCTCCCCCGTCTGTTCCGCCAGTCAGCGCTGGCAGATCGGAGCGGGGAGAGGGGAATCCAGCCCCTCCCCCTGTCATGGCAGAGAGCCGTAACAGGATCGAGAGGTGAGCGAACCTGGTATGTGTTCGCTCACCTCCCGATCTACTGAGCCGACCAGTGACAGTCTCATTGTTACAGGTCGGCTAGAACTATGAGGTGAGTGGAAATCACTCATCTCATAGTTCTCCTTTAATGATTAACTAATATAAATGAAAAATCACAATACAATCTTTTAGAATATTCAGTCTATTGTTCTAGACCTGTGTTATTCACATTACCTGAGGATACTGATAGACCCCCGTCAATGCTGCTGATGCCAAAGATGAGGAAATGGTCCTGTGACCTAAGAACCCAAAGACTGTACTCTTCTTATGACAATCAACGTTTGGAATTGGATCCTCTGACCCGGATAAGACATCCAGAACACTCTGTACAGCTTCATGTTCCCGGTTACATGTATCATAAACCTGGAATCCCAACGTGATGTTCGGCAGCAGGTCTGTTCTATTGTTAATTTCCTCTATAGCAAATATGAAGGCCAGAAGATGTCTCAGATACCTGTGAGGATGTCTGAAGAGAGACAACTTGTTTTGTATGCGACAAAAATCTATAATAAACTCTTCTATAAGTATTTTGCAAATAATGTACAACTAGATTATGATTCCTAACACAAGATTGAAATGGAAGCAAAACATGTGCCACCAGCCTAAGGATCAACTTTTTCTTAGCTGCATCTAATCAAAACATGATGTGAGCAAGATAAAAAATACAACAAAAGAATATTTGTTACTGTAAACCAGTAAAGGAAAGTACATTGATAAAAAAAGGGTATTAGTGTTGCCCTATACATTGTGGTATTCCAAGGCTGGGAAAAAAACCTGTGTGGGTTGAGTGGGTAGAGACATTGGAGGATCATTAGAAAGAGTTTTAAACAAGTTGGATTAGAAAACTTGCTTATTGAAATTTGTTTAATATATATCAATGAAAACAAAATTAAATAATTCATAAATCCTAATTGCCTAGATGGCCTCTGTTGGTTGGAATTCCACAAGGGATGAGATATTCAATCTGCTCTAAGCATAGTTCATGACGAATTGGGCCAATTTGCAGCAAACAGATTTATGTATGATCCACATCCCATTAGCTTCCATGTGGGCATATGCTTCAAGCTTTCCCTACCATACCCTCTGACTTAGAAAAATATTTTCCACCTTCTGCAGCCAATCAGCAGAGATGAAGTGAACGAGAACTCCTCCACCTTGGCACCTAGGTTGTAATGCTGTGGGGCTTGCAAAATACCAAAATAACAAGTAATTGAAGAACAACTCTGGGCAAATGACAAATTAACCCTTGCAGTGGTGCTACCCCTGCACTGTAAGGGTTAAATTCTTGTTTTGATCCAGAGTCTAAAATAAAAATGATACAATCACCCCATCCTTGAGCCTGCCTGGCTGCTAGACCGACGCACTGCCTCTCTCCCCCTCCGCTTCAGCTTTTTAATGACCCATGAGTCATCACTGCTAATACAGTGTATTAGACATGAGAATGTCAAGGGACATTTCACCACCGGAGCGGAGGGGCAGAGAGGCTGTGGGATCCAGTCTAGTGGTCAGGCAAGGGCTAATTTACCCAGAGTTGTTCTTTAAATTTTTTGTTCCTTCTTTTAACTCATCTTTCTCCTGTAGAATTGAGCCTTTAGTGTTCTGGCCCATTGCAGAGTCTCTAATCCTTTTGCATTGTACACTCCCAGTTATTATCACTTCAGTCCTTTACCCACAGCGACCCCAGGACAGAGTAGAAGAGCACTCTTAGTAGGCGTAATTCTGAAAATATGTCAGTATTGGAACATTCATTGTACTAACAACATACATGCCAAATGTATTGTATGCCTATAAGGACTCTATAAGATTGCCTTTATGGTCAATATAATTGTTCAAAACCTTCCCCCTTCCTCCTTGAACTAAACTCATGCCAAAGGAGGGAATAGGAGTAGTGTCGCTGTACTGTGTGTGCAATAAGTTCTGTATGTGGAGGAGGAAGTGGAATATCTTTGGCACCCAAAATGACCTTGAAGCTCTAATGCTTTCACCACACCTTACAGCATATGGCTAAAAGTTTCTGGACACCTGACTATCACACCTATATGAGCTTGCTATATATCCCATTCTATAGCTATGACCATTAATATGGAGTTGTCCTCCTCCACCCATGTATGTGCTTTCCATTCTTCTGGGAAGGTTTTCTAAGAGATCTGTGCCCATTCAGGTTGGACAAACTGACCTGGCTTGCAATTCACATTTCAAATCATCCCAAAGATCTTCAATATGGCTAAGGTCAGGGCTTTAGTCGAGGCTACTTGATTTTCTCCACAGTAAATTCTTAAAACTATGTCTTTGAGCTATATCTGTAGCTGGTTTTGTGTTCAGGGGCAAAGTAAAGCTGGAGCAGAAAAGGGCCTTCCCAAAACTGTTGCCACAAGGTTGAAAGCCCCAAATGGTCCAAAATCCCTTTGTAAAGTGTACCCTCTCACTGGAAAACATGAATTCAATAATCTGGAGTAGTGTCCAAATATTTTTATTATAATGTGTAATGTCAATGTGATGGCCAGGATCATCACACATGGGGTTTAATGAATAAGGCCATGAGATGGGATTTCAAGGGTTACACTGACAGCTTGGCAACATTATACTTCGGCACAAAGCATGTTTGGATAAAGTGTGGATGCTTCCAGCTGAGTTACAAAAATGTACCCTGAACTGTGTTTGACTGGATGAGAAGAAGTATAGAAGAACAAGTGGCTGGGTTTAAAATGGCATCTTATCCATACCCATTTGTTTATGGCGGGTGGAGGTGACACTGGAATGTAATTTCTTGGTGTCACTTCAACCCCTCCTTCTTGATAATGATGATCATGGTGTTTTTTTTTATGGCAAGTAAGGCATAAGCGTGAGATTAAAGTTTTATTGGCTGAAACTAGGATTGCACCAATACCGATACCAGTATTGGTACCAGTGCCGATACCGAGTATTTGGGCGAGCATTCACTCAAATGCCACCAATAATTACCTCAGATACCGGAACTTCCGGTCAAAGGGAGATCTCCCTCTGACTGCCAGTGCCGAGGGAGCATGGAGCTGACTTCCTTTACAATCCGGAAGGAGTGCAGTGGGTTATGACCCTCCTTCCAGCTTCCTGATTGGCTAGGAAGCCGACTTAACATGTTGCTAAGCAGCCTGGCTTCCTCACCAATCAGGAAGCCAGGTGGCACGTAATGACCCACCTCCCGGCATCCTGATTGGCCAGGAAGCCAGGCTGCCTGGGAACAAGTGAAGCCGGCTTTCTATCCAGTCAGAAAGATGGTAGGCGGGTCATGAAGTGCCGTCCAGCCTATTGATTGGTTAGGAAGCCGGCTTCACTTGTTGCTAGGCAGCCGGACGGCACCTCATGAAGCCAGGATGCCTAGGAACAAGTGATGCCGGCTTCCTATCCAATCAGGAAGCAGGTAGATGGGTCATGAAGTGCTGTCCAGCTTTTGGCTAGGAAACCGGCTTCACTTGTTGCTAGGTAGCCTGGCTTCCTGACAAATCAGGAAGCCAGACGGCACCTCATGACTCGCCACTTGGCTACCTGATTGGTCTTTTGCTAGGCAATCAGGAAGCCAGGTGACGGGTCATGATCCGCCGCCTGACTTCCTGATATTCGTGTTATATTTGCACCGGTACTCGGTATCGAGTACCGGAAAAAAAATATCGGTACTCGTACTCGATACTGAAAAACCGGTATCGGTGCATCCCTAGCTGAAACTGTAAGGCCTAAGAAATTACCAGGACTGCAGAAGATGTATATTTGTTGTCACTGTGACCAGAAAAGTTATACATGTGAAATAAGATGGTTTACTTTTCAGTTGGAATTTTGGAAAAAATAAATTAAATCTGAACTTTTCTACCATTAGTCCCAAGCCAAAGAAACTGAGGACTCAAAGACACCCTAAAATATACGGCAAGGGGGGGCGTGGCCAACCATGGTGGTGTGAAGACGTGCAGCCGCGAGCTCTGCTACACCGGGGCTCCCTAAAACTGACTTTTCAGCACAGCGAACGGATTTTTGACCCCCTATGCCCGACGACAAAGTCTCACCCGGCGGCCCTGTTTCATCATCTACCCGGGACATCGCCTCCTACTTTACGAGGCATCCGGACGCAGCCGCAGACACGTGGATCTTTTTGTGTCTGCGTGGCGCATGGGGGGGGATGGGGTCGCTCCTACCTTTGGGGCGGGACTGTCCCCCTCCGGGGTGCCCTACTAGGCTGCTCGGAGTGGACCTCCTCTGCCCTCGTGTTGGGGGGCCGGGTGGGCCCATACTGATAAATGTATTTGAAGTTTTACTTTTATAGACTTGCATGCTTCACACACTTTTTACAGTTTTACATTATATTTCTCTGTATTTAGT